AATTATGTCAACGGGAGAACTCTCTCTCATCCGCATAAAGCAGCTACACGAGCGATCTTACAGTGGTTCAGCTGCACTGGTACAGCTGTGCTGCTGTAAGCTCACTAGTGTAGACATGGCCTCAGTTAATCAGGGTAGGGAGAATTCCCTCCTTTCCTAGTTTTCTAAGGCTAGGGTTTTCTTTTCAGTTTCAAGTTTTCAGCGTTTTCCCATTAACTTTAATGGTCTATCGTTGTCTCATGGCTGGACCATGGATGAACACTTGAAATTGATTTTCTGTAAACAGCTAGCTTGGGATGTCCCCCCTCCCTGCCTGATTGCTTTACCACACTTGTGAGTTTGATGCTGTAGTTGCACCGCAGGTACAATTACAATTTTCTACACATGTGTACGTGCATAACCATCACCTGTATATGTATCTCCTAGTGACCATCAAGTTCAGAACTTTACAAGCTTTCATAAGAGACCTTACTTGACATATTAATACACAATAACATTGCATGCAACCAGTTGATTCAATTGTTATTCTTTGGAGTTCAGACCTGTTTCTTAAGTGTGGCTCTACAAATCTACTCCCAGAGCCAGATCCACACACCCCACTATGTACTTTTGAAAGGCTAGGATCTGGCCTAAACTCTGCTGTGCTTATAGCACAAAATTCAACTGAAATTCTCAGCTTGTGCACTTTTATCTCCCTTCTTCCCAAAGACAGCATCTGACCCTAAATCTGTGCTCCCCTCCCCCCCTCACACTCTGGTGTGACATGACACCCACCCTCCATGGCCCTCTTCTCTCAGCTCAGAGCAGGATGCCAGTAGCTTTGTTATCTTTGCTTGTTTCCATTTGGGGCCCTGAAATAGGGATGTTTAAAGTTAATAGTAATAAGGCATGTATGATTCTGTCAGGTGCTGTCCCCAAACTCTATCACAGAAGCATTTTGAGAAAAGTGTTTTGGTGCTGGGTTTGATGTATGAACAGGGCTTAAAAATAACCCAGCACTTGAAGGGAGTGGTGCTGGATGGACCAGTGAAACTGCAAAATACCAAGTGCATGTCCCTAAAAGAAGCTAGAAAACTTGAAATGGTCCTTACTAAATGTATGAGGAGAAGGATGGAAGGTGGTGTATCTACCTTGAGCAATGTAGCTTTAATGTGTGGTTATATCAGCCCAAATGCTCACAGGATATGGATGTTCGCTATCTGTCCTTTCAAACCCATGCTGGATCTCCCTCACTTGTTCTGCTTCATTCCAGAATCTACTGCTGTGAACAAGCTGCACCAACCACACCAATCAAATTTGCAGAAACGTTCAGGAGTAAACTCCTGCGTCTCTTCCCTCTCCTCTCTCCCTCACAGTGTAAGCTGTGGTTTTTATAAAGTTTTAAACAATTCGCTTTTCAGATATTGTGTGAGGCATCACCAGCAGAATGTACACAAGACAACTGTTCCCCCATATACACCTTATAATCTGCTGACCCAGTTTGTCTTGATACTCCCCTGGTCTCTGTTTTTTCACACACAAGAGCAAATGGGTACTTTCAGTCTGACTGACTTGTTTTACATTGAGAGACACGAAACAGGATAAAAGCCAGCAAAATCTCCATGACAGGGCAGTGTCTGTCTCCTCTTCATCTGAAAAAAATGGCGGCTAGTCTCTGCAAGACCTAAAATTTAGAGAAGAGGCACAGTACAGAGCAACAGTCATACAGCAACACAGCTGCGTGCACCATGGTCTCCTTTTCTCACACTGTGCCCATAACATCATCTCTGCTGCTGTGTATCATACAACCTCACTCTCCTTCAAATACCTCCTCCAAATTCATTTCTTTTCACTAGGTTATCATTACTGATCTCCAGTCCTGCAAGTTAATGGCAGTTACCACCTCAAATTGCCATTATCAATGACAAAGTGTGAAAAATAACAAGATCTATAAACCATGTACACAAAACCAAATGCATCTGGGGCTTTATCTGTCAGGGCTGGGATGCAGGGTACTGGGCCTGGTGGTTAGCATGGCGAGGGCTGGGTCCCCGTTCCAGCTGGGATTCAGAACCAGAAGCTCAGGAGCTAAGAGTCAGATACCAGGAAACTGGTTGAGTCAGGAAACCCGAAATTTTGGGATCAGGAAACAAAAGCAGGTAGCGCTGGGTGAATAGCTCAAACCAGGGTAGAGTCCAGTTGTACAAACAACTTCATGTTCCTCCTTCTGGCTTAAGCAGGGGGAGGTAGCTGATCAGTAGCTCTGGTGTTCCATCAAGTGGGGCCCATGCCTGGAACCTCCTATCTGAGCTGAGCTTCAAGGAGTCTACACTAAGCCATTGGGTGTATTGTTGGAATATGATGACCCCTAAGGATCTGGGTTCAAAACCCACAGGTCATGACACTATCCTGCTTCCATTGAAGTGAACGACAAAGCTCTTGTTGACTTCAGTGGCAACAGGATCAAGCCTTTAAAGATTAATTCACAATCTCTTACTGTTGTTGCCCTTATCTCTCTCTCTTGTTTGTTCCTTCTTGTTGTGTTACATCTAACTGAGGCCATGTTTAGACTGAAAAAATAGACTGTGTCATAAAATAAGTTAACTAACATGTGTTTAAGGCCAGGTATACACTAGAAACTTTTGCTGGCATAGAATAATTGTGGTTGGTGTGGCATTTTTGACATTTTTATGCCGGCAAAAGCCATAGCGTAGATGCATAGAAGTGATGTTGCTAGTTCAGCTCAGGGAACCAGTATAAAAGTTATGCTGGCAAAAGCAGTTCTTTGCCAGTAGCATTTATTACTGTAGCACTATGAACTGTGTCTATAGTCAGACCGTTTGTCGGTCTAGCTATAGCGGCATAACTATACCAGCAAACTGTTCATAGTGTAGACCTGGGCCTAACAGACACATTTTAAATCTGACTTTGTTTCTAGTCTAGATAGGGCAAATCATATTTAAAACCCTGGTATATGGTGTTGGGCCAGCCTAGGTCCCCTTCTGTTTTCCTAGTTTAGATGTAGACCTTAGCTTGTACGCTTCTTAGGACAAGGACTTGTCTCTGTACCTGTAAAATGCCATGCATACCTATCAGGCTGTAAAAATAACAACTAGATTACTACGGGGATGCATAACTCAGTAATCCAAGATGCACAGGTTTGTAGACTTATAAGAAAAGGTTTCCTAGACCCCTGCTCCACCTGCATCCACTTACATAAAGTAGCAGTAGAATTGCACATGGTGTTTGTGAACATGCACACGCTGCACTCTTCCTACTGCGGGAGCAACAGCAAAACAGGGTACAAACTGATTTAAACCTCTCCCTTTGCTGCTCACTGCCACCTGTGCTGAAATGAAGACAACAAACTCTTGGAAGCTGCCCTGTGTGTTTCAGTTTTCAATTGAAACTTTTTAGCAAAGCTGAAAGAGAAGAAAACAAAACCACACTTCTCTGTGCTTCCAGTGAAAAGAAACGACAGCCATTAGATTCACTTCATTTACCTCACCTGACCTGAAATGAACTCCCTCCCTCAGGCCTGTAAGAAAATTCAATTAAAAGGTCCATCTGTGAGGCAACAGCTGAAGGGGAATTACTGTGGGGAGGTCCACATTTTCATAAAAAAAGGGCCCTCTTCCCCCTGCTCCCTTCTATATCCCTGATTAGGCCTTTTCCTTACCTCTAAATCATAAGTGTCCCCAATTAATCAAACCTGATCAAGTAGCTTTTATGTGCTCCATTCAAATGTAGAAACACTATAGATTTGGTACATCCCTTAAACATCACGGGGGGTGGGGGGTAGGGAAAAAGAAACAGAGGTTTGGAATCAGAGCAGCCTAGCCCAATTAAACCAGCTGATGCAATGGGATTAATGGCTGCTAATATGCAAAGGGCTCTTCTGGTAGCAAAAATAATCACCATAAGGCAACAACAGTGTGTAGGGGCTTAAAAAAGGAGAGAGAATGGTAACAGGGAGAATAGCTAGTAGCTGTAAGTGTGCTGTTGTGAAAGCCTTCCTGATGCACATGCTAAAAGCCATGTTGTGCTTTTATGATCTATTAGCTTATAGAGCTGCTGAGAGTCATGTATCTAGTTGGTGTATGGTATTTAAAGCAGTACTGACATTAAAAGTATGCTAGAGAGCCTGCATGGAAATTGGGCAGCACATGTGAATCTTGGAGTCCTTGCTAAGTGCTGATGCCTAGCAGGCAAGTATGAGTGCATTTTTTGATTGCACAGGCTTATATTTATCTAAAGCTGGGTTCTCCATGACCTCACATCATCTCTAGTCACCTGTACTTTTGCCAAGTGAATGTAAAATGCCACCAGATCAGAATGGCAGCGTTCTGTGGCCATTTCAGACATGGGTAAATGACTAAATGTAGGGCAAGGCAGAAGAGAACAGGACCCAGTGGTTTTTTTCCCCTCCGTGTTGGCTTTTTTGGGTGCATTATGTTGATCTGCATAACAAATATATGGCTTTTCTTAATGCACGGGAACTCATGCTTTTTATTTTTCACTAGCTGAACTTAGTTACAACTGTGAATGTCCATGCTCCCTGTGCACTTGCTGTATTGATGTTTGTACAGTGAAATCAATCATTTAAAATAGCCAGCTTCCAGTCCTTACCTCCCTGGTCTGATGTGAGTTGCACTGAATTACAAGAGAATATATTCAAACAACACTTTTCACTTCTTTCATCTAAGGATCTCTAAGCATATTACAAACAATTCATTAAAATAATCAGATTGCCCTTGTAAGGTATTTATATATTATTTACTTATAAATAGAGACGGGCTACAATGAAAATACCGAATTTGAATATCTACGAAAATTTGTGGGTGTTTGAAATCTGAACACAGATCGGGTTCAGACTTTCATAGAAGTACCCTAGTCCTATAATGAGCTGAATCAAACGCCCAGATCCAGCCTCCTAACACTTTGGTATGTTTGAAATCCTAGATACAAACAATGAAGCTTAATCTCTTCCCTATTTATAAATATCTGTTTTATAGATGAATAAACCAAGGCATGGAAAGGTTGAGTAACTGGCCAAAGTTTCACAGAAGACCAATGACAGAGCCCAAATAGGACCCAATCCCCAGCTCTAAGGCCTGGTCTACACTACGAGTTTGTCGGATTTAGCAGCATTAAATCGAATTAACCCTGCACCTGTCCACACAACGAAACCATTTTTTTTGACATAAAGAGCTCTTAAAACCGATTTCTGTACTCCTCCCCAATGAGGGAATTAGCGCTGAAATCGACATCGCCATTTCGAATTAGGGTTAGTGTGGATGCAATTTGAAGGTATTGGCCTCCGGGAGCTATCCCACCGTGCACCATTGTGACTGCTCTGGACAGCACTCTGAACTCGGATCACTGGCCAGGTGTACAGGAAAAGCCCTGGGAACTTTTGAATCTCATTTCCTGTTTGGCCAGGCGAGCTCATCAGCACAGGTGACCATGCAGTCCCAGAGTCGAAAAAGAGCTCCAGCATGGACCGAATGGGAGGTACTGGATCTGATCGCTGTATGGGGAGAGGAATCCATGTTATCAGAATACGTTCCAAAAGACAAAATGCCAAAACATTTCAAAAAATCTCCGAGGCCATGAGGGACAGAGGCTACATCAGGGATGCAACACAGTGTCGCGTGAAAGTTAAGGAGCTCAGAGAAGAGTACCAGAAAACCAAAGAATCAAACAGACGCTCTGGGACAGAGCCCCAGACATGCCCCTTCTACGCTGAGCTGCATGCAATTCCGCCACCACTACCCCACCCCTGTCCCTGGACTCCGATGATGGGGTACTCTCCACCATGCCTGAGGATTTTGTGGACGGGAAAGATGAGGAAGAGGAGGAGGATGAGCTTGAGGAGAGCACACAGCACACCGTTCTCCCTGACAGCCAGTATCTTTTTATCACCCTGACTGAAATACCCTCCCAACCCAAAGAAGCCAGAGGAGGGACCTCTGGTGAGCGTTCCTTTTAAAATATAATACATGTTATAAAAGCAAGCGTTTTTTAATGATTAAGTAGTCCTGCGGACTTGGGATGCATTTGTGGCCAGTACAGCTACTGGAAAAGTCTGTTAATGGGTCTGGGGATGGAGCAGAAATACTCCAGGGACATCTCCATGAAGCTCTCCTGGGGGTACTCTAAAAGCCTTTGCAGAAGGTTTCTGGGAAGAGCAGCCTTATTCCGTCCTCCATGGTAGGACACTTTACCACGCCATGCTAGTAGCAAGTAATCTGGTATCATTGCATGACAAAGCCTGGCAGCGTATGGTCCTGGTGTTTGCTGGCATTCAAGCAACATCCATTCTTTATCTCTCTGTGTTATCCTCAGGAGAGTGATATTGTTCTTGGTAACCTGGTTGAAATAGGGGAATTTAATTAAGGGGACATTCAGAGGTGGCCGTTCCTACTGGGCTGTTTGCCTGTGGCTGAAAAGAAATCCTCCCCGCAGTTAGCCATGCGGTGTGGGGTTGGGGGCATTGGCACTGAGCTGTTCGTGTTTGGCTAGCAGGGATCTTCCCTGATACCAGCCATGCGGTGGGGTGAGTAGTAAACAATCATCCCGGAAACAGGAAAACCACAGCACTAAATGGCCAACTCAACGTGCTTTGCTTGGTATGGGAGAGGAGGGCGCTGCTGTCATGAAGGTTGCAGAAGCCAAAAGACTATGGCTTACCATGGCCGCCTGCAAGCCAAATTCTGTTGCCTGGCACTGCGTGTGTGATCTCTAACACCAAAGCTGCAGGCACTCAATATAAGATGCAAAATGCAACCTTGTACCAAAATCACATGTGCTATGTAATGTGAATAGCGTTGTTCACCGTGAAAGGGTATAGCCATTGTGCTGTAAAATGTATCTTTTAAAATACTTCACTCCCTTTTTTTCCTCCAACAGCTTCAAATGTTTCAAGCCTCCCTCCTCCGTCCCAAAGGCTATCTCAGATAAGGCAGCGAAAAAAATGCACGTGCGATGAAATGTTCTCTGAGCTCATGCAGTCGTCTGGCTCTGACAAAGCTCAGCAGAATGTGTGGAAGGACACAATAGCAGAGTACAGGAAAGTGGCCAATGAACGTGAGGAGCGGTGGCAGCAGGAAGATCAGAGGAGGCATGAGGCAACGCTGGGGCTACTGCGGGATCAAACGGACATGCTCCAGCGTCTGGTGGAGGTTCATGAACGGCAGCAGGATCACAGATTGCTGCTGCAGCCCCTGTTTAACCACCCTCCCTCCTCCCCAAGTTCCATAGCCTCCTCACCCAGATGCCCAAGAATGTGGGAGGGGAGGCTCCAGGCACCCAACCACTCCACCCCAGTGGACAGCCCAAGCAACAGAAGGCTGTCATTCAACAAGTATTGAAGTGGCCTTTTCCTTCCCTCCTACCCTCCTCCCACACCCCACCTGGGCTACCTTGTGAGTTATCTCCCTATTTTTATAATCAATTAATAAAAAATACATGGTTTTTAAACGATAGTGACTTTATTTCCTTTCCAAGAAAGCTGTGATCGAAGGGGGGAGGGCGAGTGGCTTACAAAGAATTTAGAGTCAACCAAGGGGGCGGGTTTTCATTAAGGAGAAACAAACAGAAGTGTCACACAGTACCCTGGCCAGTCATGAAACTGGTTTTCCAAGCTTCTCTGATGCACAGCGCTTCCTGCTGTGCTCTTCAAACCATCCTGGTATCTGGCTGCTTGGATTCAGTGGCCAGGCGACCTCAACCTCCCACCCCACCATAAATGTCTCCCCCCTACTCTCACAGAGATTGTGGAGCATACAGAAAGCAGCAATAACAGTGGGAATATTGGTTTTGCTGAAGTCTGAGCGAGTCAGTAAACTGCGCCAGCAACCCTTTAAACGTCCAAATGCACACTCTACCACCATTCTGCACTTGCTCAGCTTATAGTTGAACATTTCCTTACTACTGTCCAGGGTGCCTGTGTACGGCTTCATGAGCCAGGGCATTAAGGGGTAGGCTGGGTCCCCAAGGATAACTGTAGGCATTTCAACATCCCCAACAGTTATTTTCTGGTCTGGGAAGTAAATCCCTTCCTGCAGCCGTTTAAACAGACCAGAGTTCCTGAAGACGCGAGCGTCATGAACCTTTCCCGGCCATCCCACGTTGATGTTGGTGAAATGTCCCTTGTGATCCACTAGTGCTTGCAGCACCATTGAAAAGTACCCCTTGTGGTTTATGTACTGGCTGCCCTGGTGGTCCGGTCCCAAGATAGGGATATGCGTTCCATCTATAGCCCCACCACAGTTAGGGAATCCCATTGCAGCAAAGCCATCTATTGTGACCTGCACATTTCCCAGAGTCACTACCTTTGACAGCAGCAGTTCAATGATTGCGTTGGCTACTTGCATCACAGCAGCCCCCACAGTAGATTTGCCCAGTCCAAATTGATTACCGACTGACCGGTAGCTGTTTCCACAGGGCTATTGCCACTCGCTTATGAACTGTGAGGGCTGCTCTCATCTTGGTATTCTTGCACTTCAGGGCAGGGGAAACAAGTGACAAAGTTCCATGAAAGTGCCCTTACGCATGTGAAAGTTTCGGAGCCACTGGGAGTCATCTCAAACATGCAGTCCCAGAACTCTGTGCTTGCTTCCCAGGTCCAGTATTGGCGTTCCATGGCATGAGCCTGCCCCAGTAACACCATGATCTCCAAATTGCTGGGGACCTTGGTTTTAGAGAAATCTGTGTTCATGTCCTCATCACTGCACTGCCTTCGCCTCCTCGCCTGGTTTTTTAGGTGCTGGTTCTGCATAAACTGCACGATAATGCGCGAGGTGTTTACAATGGTCATAACTGCTGTGGTGAGCTGAACGGGCTCCATGCTTGCCATGCTGCGGCGTCTGCTCAGGCAATCCAGGGGAAAGGGCAGGAAATGATTGTCTGCTGATGCTTTCACGGAGGGAGGGAGGGTTGACTGACGACATTTACCTGTAACCACCCGCGACAAATATTTTGCCCCATTAGGCATTGGGAGCTCAGCCCAGAATTCCAATGGGCAGTGGTGACTGCGGGAACTGTGGGATAGCTACCCACAGTGCTCCGCTCGGAATGTCGACACTTGCCACGGTACTGTGGACGCACACCGCCGAATTAATGTGCTTAGTGTGGACGCATGCACTCAACTTTATACAATCTGTTCCCAAAAGTCGACTTCTGTAACATCGGAGTACTTTTGTAGTGTAGACATGGCCTTAGACTACATAGGAGATATTGAGCAGTACACCCTGAAGCAATGCCAGGGGCGCCTTGCACCAAAAAGATACATGATATGTACTGTTTCTAATGATAACTGGTGTAGTTTAGGGGAATATCTATAAACAATCCACAAAGCAAAATGGGAATTGGATGTTCTATTCTAGTATGTGCACAATTTGTTTTTAAGACCTAAAAAAAATCTGTTTTCTGTGCAGAAATTTGGCATGTAAGAATGTCAGAATGTATGTTTGGAACCATGTAGCAAATTAGACCCTTGCTATCTTTACTGTCTTATTTTTGCTTTTTCATTTAAATATGTGAAATGAATCTGATTTTACTGCAATCTCAACTTCAACTCTATTTTAAAAATTATAGACAGTTCAGAGAATAGAAAGGGCCCTGTAAATCAAGCAGAGATTGGTTACTTGCTCGAGCAAGATCATTAAGAGTGCAGAGAGTGAGGAGATGGCTGAGGCATCTCACTGGGAAGAGGCAGGGAAAATTAATTTCCCAGGGAATCTGAGCCCTCCCAAGTTTCATTCCTTTTAGGGACACTCCCTTAACTTTATTATTCATTTTCTAAAGGTGCTTTTAAGGTCTCTGTTGCTTGTGATGAAGGATTTTACCCTGTGTGTTTCAATGACACATTTCAAATCTCAATTTATTCAAATTGTCACAGCTTGACAGCCCTGGAATTTTAGGTGAAACCCCATTCTAGTGGAGGTACCTTGGGGAGTGTGAAATAGTGTCACTGGCTTCCCCACACTGTACTCTTTACATAAGCAATGTTTAATATTTTCCTCCATAGCATGGATATAATTAATATTGTGCATAGCATTCTCTATGCAGCTGCTCTGTGTTTTTTGCAAAGCTCTCCAGCTGCTTTCAAGCTGTTCCTTTGACTCTGCCACAATACTCACGCCCTCTCCCCCACAGTGCTAAAGGACAGTCAGTGATTTGTTTCTCAGCAACTCTCTCAATACCAGGTATCTCTTAGGATTAACTGAGAGCCAAAACTGAAGGGTTGGGGGAAGGGTTGAGGGCCAGGGAGGAGAGAGAAGGCACACACTAGCAGACTGGCTCTCACTGACCTGGATTCAAAATAGAGATCCCTAATGCAGGAGATATTGTTCAAATATTAATAATTTTTTCTCCAGAAATCCCATGCAATCTTGAGCAAGTCTCTTAAATTCTCTCTCCCTCAGTTTCCCCAAGTTTAATGCAGAGGTAATATTTTCTACCTCAGAGAGGTGTTGTGATGCTAATTTCATTAACCTTTGTGAAGGGTTTTGAGATCCTTGAATAGAAGCAATATTGCCAACCTCACACTTTCAAAAATCATGAACCAGACACCAAAAATATCATAAGATTTTAAATTAATAATTAAATTACATTGCCTTTGGCCTACCTTGTGATTTTTTCCCCAACCTGAAAGGGAAGCCACTCACTTATGTGTGATTATCTCAGCATCAGTATTCAACACACACAAAAATGCAGCCTCCATGTTCACTGATGAGAGGAAACCCATTTACCCTCGACCCTGAGTAAGGAGGGAAATAAACTTCAGGGATTGAGATTTGGCACAACTGATTAAAAGAGCTTTAAACTAGGAATTTGAGGGGGAAATGTTTGGGAGATAAATAATCTCCATGCCTGATTTTAACATTGAGAGGGAGGAAAATCAAGTGAGAAAAGACACAGCAATGGAGAAAGGAACAGCAGTGAGTAGGAGAATGGACATTAAGAGGAAAGATAGTGTCGATACCATTGAAGCTAACAGTCAGGTGATACTGGCAGTAGAATGACTGTACTCAATCGGGTGAGGAATGTGAGCGAAACCAAGCAGCAACAATTAAGATGTTTGTACACCAATGCAAGGAGCCTGGGTAACAAAATGGAGAGAACCTAGAACTACTGGTACAGGAAGTGAAACCAGATATTATAGGGATAACAGAAACATGGTGGAATAGTCATGGTGGAGTAGTCATGACTGGAATACAGGTGTTGAAGGGGATGTGCAGTTCAGGAAAGACAGAAATAAAGGCAAAGGTGGTGGAGTAGCACTGTGTATTAATGGTGAGGTGGACTGTAAATAAATTAGAAGTGATGGAATGGATAAGACAGAGTCTGTTAGGGCCAAAATCATTTTGGGGAAGAAAGCTACTAGAGGTTCTCCTGGACTAGTGCTTAGGGGTTTGCTACAGACCCCCAGGATCCAATCTGGATATGGATAGAGACCCCTTTAATGTTTTTAATGAAATAAATACTATTGGGAACTGTGTGATTATGGGAGACTTTAATGTCCCAGATATAGACTGGAGGACAGGTGCTACTAATAATAGTAGGGCCCAGATTTTCCTGGATTTGATAGTTGACAGATTTCTTCACCAAATAGTCACCAAACCAACAAGACATGATGCCATTTTAGATTTGGTATTGGTGAGTAATGAGGACCTCATAGAAGAACAGGTTGTAGGGGACAACCTTGGTTCGAGTGATCATGAGCTAATTCAGTTTAAACTAAATGGAATGATAAACAAGAATAGATCTGCAAGTAGGGTCCTTGATTTCAAAAGGCAAACTTTAAAAATTTAATGCAATTAGTTAGGACCTGACTGAAGAACTCAAGGATCTGAATGTGGAGGAAGTTTGAATTATTTTATCAAAATTGCAGAAACTATCTGAAGCCTGCATCCCAAGCGAGAAGAAAAATTTCATAGGGAAGGGTTGCAGACCAAGCTTGATGAGCAAGTATCTCAAACAGGTGATTAAGAGAAAGCAGAAAGCCTACAAGGGATGGAAAATGGGATGGAACAGCAAGGAAAGCTACCTCTTGGAAGCCAGAAAGTGTAGGGATAAAGTGAGAACTGCCAAAAGCAAAGCAGAGTTGGACCTTGCAAAGGGAATTAAAACCAATAATAAAAGGTTCTGTAGCCAACTAGATCTTTTTGAGAAGATATCTGATTTTTTAGACTAAGGAAATGCAGTAAATATAGGCTATCTGAATTTCAGTAAGGCATTTGATACATTTCCACATGGGAAATTATTAGTTAAATTGGAGAAGATGGAGATTAACATGAGAATTGAAAGGTAGATAATGAACTGGTTAAAAGGGAGACTACAACAGGTCATACTAAAAAGTGAACTGTCAGGCTGGAGGGAGGCTATTAGTGGAGTTCATCAAGGATCGGTCTTGTGACCAATCTTATTTAACATTTTTATTACTGACTTCAGCACAAAAAGTAGGAGTGTGCTAA